TGTGGCCATGGAAGTGATTGGAACACCTGATTCTGATTACTTGCATGGGTGAGTGAATACTTTTGGCAATATAGTGTATCATCCATTAGCAGATGATCCATTATCCTTCAGGTATCATCCATATGCAAATAATACCCAATAATATATCTTAATCCCAAACCAACTAGGGTTCAAGGTACTGAGGTTTTGTGCAAGTATCTGAAGACTGTGGGGCCCTGAATTGGGAGGAAGAATTTCAAGCTCAGCCTTGACCAGAACTTTTTCCAGGATCAGGGTTTCTTCTTTTTGGTTATGAATGATGTTGCAGCAGTGGTGAATTTCAATTTTTATTTACTACCAGTTCTGTGGGTGTGGCTTGGTGGGCATGGCAGAGGAAGGATATTGCAAAATCTCCATTCCAACACCATTCTGGGGCCAACCAGAGGTGGCATTTGCCAGTTCTCTGAACTACTCAAAATTTGCACTACCGATTCTCCAGAACCTGTCAGACCGGCTGAATTTCACCTCTGGGTTGCAGTTGTCGTTTTGGAGGTGGTGCACAATTTGGGAGTCTTCCTGGACCATCAGTTCCAGCCCATGAAGCAAGTTACAGCTATGGCTAAGAAGGCATTGCAATGAAAGATCTTGCATAAAGATCTTCTTAGCCTTTACTTGAACCAGTGAACCCTTCAGATAGTCTCTCCTTTAATCTCCTATAAAAGGGACTGTTGCAATTCACTGAAAATAATTCAGAATGCAGTGAAACAGGAGTTCCCTTCCCCAGCTCCAAAACAAAACAGTGACTTGTTAATTTTATAAGTGCTAGTGGCAATCTGAACATAAAGCAACTTTGGTATTCATTGAACTTAAATGCAATAGATTTTAAAATATTTAAATAGTTCACAGAATTAACCTATGAATTTCATTACTGCATAAAATTTGATGGACTATAATAATTACAAAAACTAAGTGAATTATTCTGTTTTGTTGAAAGATACAAGCTTAAAGTCCAACTTCTTCTTTTTTAGAGTTGAGAAGTGAGGGACAGGAGTTGCGTATATATTACCATCTTATTTACCTTAATAGTAACTCTCTCTCTGAGGAATGACTCTTACTGACAGTAGGAAAGTGAGCAGGCTGGCTCAAGACAAGTTAGTGTAGAGATGTTTATACATTTATGTTCTTATGTCTAGGTTTTTTGCAACATGGAGACTGCAGGAGGAGGTTGGACAGTAATACAACACCGAGAAGATGGGAGCCTAGATTTCCAAAAAAGTTGGAAAGAATACAAAATGGTAAGATGGAGACATTGTTTTATCATTATTCTTAATTTGAAGCAAAGCTGAACACTGTGTCAATAGCTTGTGCTGGGAACATGGCCATTAAACAATAAACCAGAAGTAACCATGCGGTTCAAGCTTATTATAGCCATCAAGACTCCTTTCTTGATTTGTTTTAATATGAATCATACTTCAGAAAGTTGCTTCATTTAGAAACTTTCTTCCATTCTTCCCCTGTGGGTTTAGAGATGTCTCTATTGCCTTTGTCCATCGTTTCCATTCTTCTTTTCCAGAGAATGTGTCACACTGAGTAATAACAAAAATGTTAACATTGGTTGAGGTCCAAATTCCCCTATGAGAAAATAGAAAATCCTTCCACCCAGGAATTGCAGGCCTTTATGCTTCACAGGAAGCCATCTATAGATCTCTTTGTCTCTGTGAGGATATGGGGAAAGGCAATCATTTCCTTAAAATTTCTTATTAATAACTGAAATTAACTTCCATGCCATTTTGAATCCTGGTGAATTGAGAAATGATGGCTGTACTTTGCACCATCATTTGATTGAATAGGGTTAGGAATAAAAGCAAATTAAATCAATGCATGTAAGATAAAGGGAAATTGGAATCCTCTGGGGTATATATATATTTATCCTACTAACAGTAGTCAGGCAGAACTGATATGTATCTTCTGGAGATGATATATGAGGGTCATGGCCCAAGTGGAGTTCTGAAATTATTTAGGTTCAGGGCAAGGTTTAGGTTCAAAAAAAGAAGAGTTGAGATTCAAACTAGCACCCTGGACAGTTCCAAATGGAACTCAAGGTGGAGACTAGATCATAGCTGGCTTAACTTCAGGTGTAAGTTTATCAGAGTTAATGTTTAACCATGGCTACTATTCCATTTTAGCTAGAAGTTGAAGGTATCACTTCTGTTTTAGCAATCAATATCTCCAACAACATTGTTCCTGCCGTCAATTCTACACTGAAATTCTGTGACACTCTGTAGCACCGATTGTTTTATATAATCTCCTGGATCTCTCATGGCATTTCTAGAAAACCGCTCCAACAATATAAGAGGGAAATTATTAAGTAGATGTAGTAAAAAATAGTCTTGTTTCTGCTTTATTTATTGCTTTATCATAGCTCCAGTTGCTATTTGAAATCTGAATCCCAGCATAACATGAAAAAGCAATTTGTAGCTCTTAGGCTTACAAAAAGTTGTATTCTGAAGGTGGCAGCTGAAATGCCTCAGATTCAGGTGATGGTGACCCAATAGACTTGTTATATGGCAGTTTTATGGGGAAATAAGTGAACTTGGGTTGGTGTTTGGGGTAATTCCATATCATGTTTTATTGTTCTGAATCTATGGTTTGAACTATAGATGTAATGAATAATATTATTTCTTTGTGTAACATGGGACAATATTTCATCTCCTCTACTCTTGGGTCCTCATCAATGTAATGCAAAAATAGTGACACTCAATTTCCCAGAGATACTCTTCTGACAAATGAAGAGGATAAACCATGAAAGTTCACCATATCTCATCATAATCTTCAAGCTGAGAAGAGCTATGATGAGATAGAGCTATATTGTTGCTCTTGGGATCACTGGAGCCACTCTCCCAGTTTAGGAGCCCCACTTCTGAGTGCTACTACCACTGCTGGAACTACTTTGGTCTTTACTTTCTACATCATCTTGAGTTGTTCCTTAACAGTATCAGACCACGGCACTTCTCCAGGTTCTCATACTGCTTGTTCCTGATGTTCCTGTCTCTGCTACATCTACCACCACCGCTGTCTTTTAATCTTTGTCTACTATGACAATATTAGTTGATAGACCAGTACTTGCCTGTCCATCTGAATCTGGAGTTGCATAGGATCTTAGCCCTGTTATTATCCATGATTTACTCTTCTATCTGGACTTGGGAGTGTATAGTTTAGTTTAGTTTATTAAACTTGTATGCCGCCCTATTCCCGGAGGGACTCAGGGCAGCTAACAAACCAAATAGGGAAGGGGGCAATACAAAGAAAACAAACAAGACAAAACAAAATACAAAAAACAGATTAAAAAACTCATCAACAGCCGCAACAATTCGAGTGGGGCTGGGAACTCATCAGCCCCAGGCCTGCCGGAACAGCCAGGTCTTAACAGCTTTGCGGAAAGCCTGAAGGGGGGTGAGGGTCCGAATCTTCACGGGGAGATCATTCCAAAGGGCCGGAGCAGCCACAGAGAAGGCCCTCCCCCATAAACTATGCATATGTTCCGGAACACAATGCCAACTACTTGGTTTTATGGTTTTAGTATATTCTGTTCTGTATCTTATATCCTGCCAGTATATGTTGGATTGTCTTCCTTTTTACTATGTTGAAGTAAGGGGTAACTAGCTATTTCCCAATTAGTGTGGATGCAGGTCTTCATACATAATCTCTCATTAGCATTCTAATCACTATGATATTCAGTCCTCTACACATATATAAAATCTGTCTGACAAATTTTGTCAGGTCTGGTCCTGTGAGGCACAGATATTGAACATCCAATCCAAGAAATAAATATGCAGGCAGTGCTCAATTTAGGACCATAATTGAGACCAGAATTATGGTTGTAAATCATTCTGGTCATTAAGCATGTGTTCATGTATCCAACCTGACTTCATAATAATTTTTGTGGTTGTTGGTAACTGAATGCCATGATCATTAAGCAAACTATCTATCAGGGTTCCAAGTAACACCCCTAGCAAAAGAAGACTCCTAGGCTTGAGGTTCCTCAAAGTTCCAATTTATTACAAATGCCATATTGGCACATCTGGGAAAACCCATATCTGAATGTTTCCAGGTTTTCCCCACCCAAACAAAAGTTCAAATCCCTGCCCAGCACCCACATGTCCATCACATGGCCCAATCAGGCACTGTCCCAACTGGAGATGCCTCCCAGTTATGCCACTCCAGGTGCAGGGAAGATGTCCTTGACTCTCTGAGAAAGGAGTGTTATTTTGACTATATCTATTACACACTATATAATCCCCCTCCCAATTTCCCACAGCATTAAATGTGGCAGATCTGAAGGCCCAATGCAAAAGATGGTTTCCTGGCCTGACACTATCTACAATGGAAGGGTTTTTTTGTTTTTTTACTGGGAACTGGTAAATGCAAGCCAATTGCCTAGTACACAAAACATTATTGTGTTAACATGGGGGTGGGAAACCATCATACCGTGGAATCTGGATCATATGTACCTTTTGTGGGAGGTCTGTTGTAACTTTGGATGATCTTGTAAGTCAAGAACTACCTGTGTGCATATCACAGCAGGTGGAAGCCAGTCTTGCTTCATCCCCAAAAGTCTCAGCAGATTGGAGTGATCAGTACTTGGACATGAGACAACCAGGAAAATGGTCTCAGCTGGCTAGATTAAAGCATAAAAAACCAAAATCCCCACAAATCAATGGCAAACTGCTTTCATATTGCTGCCAAGACAATGATATGGATATGTCTCTGTAATTGCCTGTAGCTGAGCTCAAAGCAAGTCAGTCTCTGTGTTTAACATCATCATGTAAGCTGAGATGTCTTCTGAAATCCTTCCCATATGAACATTTGATTGAAGTATCCCGATTGTAGTACTTCCATAACTGCATCAGAATCAACAACAGTTGAGAGCAGCTGTTAACCTGGGACTCTTATCTCTAATATGAACAAAGTAACTGGTCTCATTATATAGTAGATGGCAGCACCTGTGCATCTATATCACACTCAAAATTTAAGCAGGAATCCAATCACAAATAGTATTGGACACCCAAGAGAAAATCTTACTGTTTATTTATTAATTAATCCAATTTATATAGCTGCCCATCTCACCCAAGGCAATTCTGGGAGGTGCACAATTATAGATAAAATGTGAGGATATAAAAATAGCAAATGCAAATAGAAAAGGCCATAATAATATCCTAAAAAAATGGAAATCAAAATATTGAAGGAAATAGAAATATCCCCCTCAACAATGGAGGTATCTAAGTGTCAGCGTTCCAAGTATCATGTAGAATTAAATCAGAGTACAAGGCAAAACAATCCTTAAAGTTCCAATTTAATAAAGCAGACATCTTAGCACATCTGTGTTAATCCCAAT